GAGGAAGCTGGGATGGAGGAAGCTGGGGATGGAGGAAGCTGGGATGGAGGAAGCTGGGGATAGAGGAAGCTGGGATGGTGGAAGCTGAGGGAGGAGGAAGCTGGGGATGGGGAGAGGAGCGGGAGGGAGGAAGCTGGGATGGAGGAAGCTGGAATGGAGAAAGCTAGGTGATGGAGGAAGCTGGAAATGGAGAAAGCTATGGTGATGGAGGAAGCTGGGATGGAGGAAGCTGGGGTGGAGGAAGCTGGGGATGGAGGAAGCTGGGGATGGAGGAAGCTGGGGATGGAGGAAGCTGGGGATGGAGGAAGCTGGGATGGAGGAAGCTGGGATGGAGGAAGCTGATGAATGGAGGAAGCTGGGGATGGAGGAAGCTGGGGATGGAGGAAGCTGGGGATGGAGGAAGCTGATGAGAGGAAGCTGGGGATGGAGGAAGCTGGGGATGGAGGAAGCTGGTGATGGAGGAAGCTGAGGGGAGGGAGGAAGCTAGGGAATGGAGGAAGCTGGGGATGGAGGAAGCTGGTGATGGAGGAAGCTGGGTGATGGATGAAATTGGGGGATGGAGGAAGCTGGGGATGGAGGAAGCTGGTGATGGAGGAAGCTGGGGATGGAGGAAGCTGGGATAGAGGAAGCTGGGGATGGAGGAAGCTGAGGGAGGGAGGAAGCTGGGATGGAGGAAGCTGGAAATGGAGAAAGCTAGGTGATGGAGGAAGCTGGGGGTGGAGGAAGCTGAGGGAGGGAGGAAGCTGGGGATGGAGGAAGCTGGTGTATGGAGGAAGCTGGGGATGGAGGAAGCTGGGGTGGAGGAAGCTGGGAATGGAGGAAGCTGGGGATGGAGGAAGCTGGGATGGAGGAAGCTGGGGATGGAGGAAGCTGATGATGGAGGAAGCTGGGATGGAGGAAGCTGGGGTGGAGGAAGCTGGGAATGGAGGAAGCTGGGATGGAGGAAGCTGGGGATGGGGAAGCTGGGGATGGAGGAAGCTGGGGATGGAGGAAGCTGGGGATGGAGGAAGCTGAATGATGGAGGAAGCTGGGGATGGAGGAAGCTGGGGATGGAGGAAGCTGGGGATGGAGGAAGCTGATGATGGAGGAAGCTGGGGATGGAGGAAGCTGGAAATGGAGAAAGCTAGGTGATGGAGGAAGCTGGGATGGAGGAAGCTGGGGATAGAGGAAGCTGGGGATGGTGGAAGCTGATGGGAAGGAGGAAAACTGGAGGATGGAGGAACTGGAAATGGAGAAAGCTGGTGATGGAGGAAGCTGGGGATGGAGGAAGCTGGGTGGAGGAAGCTGGGAATGGAGGAAGCTGGGGATGGAGGAAGCTGGGGATGGAGGAAGCTGGGGATGGAGGAAGCTGGAAATGGAGAAAGCTAGGTGATGGAGGAAGCTGGGGATGGAGGAAGCTGGGGTGGAGGAAGCTGGGAATGGAGGAAGCTGGGATGGAGGAAGCTGGGGATGGAGGAAGCTGGGGATGGAGGAAGCTGGGGATGGAGGAAGCTGGGGATGGAGGAAGCTGATGATGGAGGAAGCTGGGGATGGAGGAAGCTGGGGATGGAGGAAGCTGGGGATGGAGGAAGCTGAGATGGAGGAAGCTGGGGATGGAGGAAGCTGGGATGGAGGAAGCTGGGATGGAGGAAGCTGATGATGGAGGAAGCTGGGATGGAGGAAGCTGGGGATGGAGGAAGCTGATGATGGAGGAAGCTGGGTGATAGAGAAAGCTGAGGGAGGGAGGAAGCTGGTGATGGAGGAAGCTGGGGATGGAGGAAGCTGGGTGATGGAGGAAGGTGGGGATGGAGGAAGCTGGGATGGAGGAAGCTGAGGGAGGGAGGAAGCTGGGGATGGAGGAAGCTGGGGATGGAGGAAGCTGGGGATGGAGGAAGGTGGGGATGGAGGAAGCTGGGATGGAGGAAGCTGGGGATGGAGGAAGCTGAGGGAGGGAGGAAGCTGGGGATGGAGGAAGCTGGGATGGAGGAAGCTGGGGATGGAGGAAGCTGAGGGAGGGAGGAGGCTGAGGATGGAGGAAGCTGGGGATGGAGGAAGCTGGGATGGAGGAAGCTTGGGATGGAGGAAGCTGGGGATGGAGGAAGCTGGGATGGAGGAAGCTGGGGATGGAGGAAGCTGAGGGAGGGAGGAAGCTGGGGATGGAGGAAGCTGGGGATGGAGGAAGCTGGGGATGGAGGAAGCTTGGATGGAGGAAGCTGGGGATGGAGGAAGCTGAGGATGGAGGAAGCTGGGGATGGAGGAAGCTGGGGATGGAGGAAGCTGGGGATGGAGGAAGCTGAGGGAGGGAGGAAGCTGGGGATGGAGGAAGCTTGGGATGGAGGAAGCTGGAGATGGAGAAAGCTGGGGATGGAGGAAGCTGGGGATGGAGGAAGCTGGGGATGGAGGAAGCTGGGGATGGAGAAGCTGGGGATGGAGGAAGCTGGGATGGAGAAAGCTGGGTGATGGAGGAAGCTGGTGATGGAGGAAGCTGAGGGAGGGAGGAAGCTGGGGATGGAGGAAGCTGGAGATGGAGGAAGCTGAGGAGGGAGGAGAAGCTGGGGATGGAGGAAGCTGGGATGGAGGAAGCTGGGGATGGAGGAAGCTGGGGATGGAGGAAGCTGGTGATGGAGGAAGCTGGGGATGGAGAAGCGGGTGATGGAGGAAATTGGAGATGGAGGAAGCTGAGGGAGGGAGGAAGCTGGTGATGGAGGAAGCTGAGGATGGAGGAAGCTGGGATGGAGGAAGCGGGATGGAGAAAGCTGGGATGGAGAAGCTGGTGATGGAGGAAGCTGATGATGGAGAAGACTGGGATGGAGGAAGCTGGTGATGGAGGAAATTGGGGGGGAAAGGGAAGCTGAGGGAGGGAGGAAGCTGGTGATGGAGGAAGTTGGGGATGGAGGAAGCTGGGGATGGAGGAAGCTGGGTGATGGAGGAAATTGGGGGATGGAGGAAGCTGGGGAGGGAGGAAGCTGGTGATGGAGGAAGTTGGGATGGAGGAACTGGGGATGAGGAAGCTGGGTGATGGAGGAAATTGGGGGATGGAGGAAGCTGAGGAGGGAGGAAGCTGGTGATGGAGGAAGCTGGGGATGGAGGAAGCTGGGGATGGAGGAAGCTGGGGATGGAGGAAGCTGAGGGAGGGAGGAAGCTGTTGATGGAGGAAGCTGGGGATGGAGGAAGCTGGGGATGGAGGAAGCTGGGGATGGAGGAAACTGGGGATGAGGAAGCTGGGGAGGGAGGAAGCTGGGTGATGGAGGAAATTGGGGGATGGAGGAAGCTGAGGGAGGGAGAAGCTGGTGATGGAGGAAGCTGGGGATGGAGGAAGCTGGGGATGGAGGAAACTGGGGATGGAGGAAGCTGGGATGGAGGAAGCTGAGGGAGGGAGGAAGCTGTTGATGGAGGGAAGCTGGGATGGAGGAAGCTGAGGGAGGGAGGAAGCTAATTGAGGGAGGAAGCTGAGGAAGGGAGGAAGCTGGGGGATGGAGGAAGCTGGGTGATGGAGGAAGCTGGGTGATGGAGGAAGCTGGGTGATGGAGGAAGCTGGGGATGAAGGAAGCTTCGTGATGGAGGAAACTGGGGCATGGAGGAAGCTGGGTGATGGAGGAAACTGGGGCATGGAGGAAGCTGGGTGATGGAGGAAGCTGGGTGATGGAGGAAGCTGGGCCTGAAGGAAGCTGGGTGATGGAGGAAACTGGGACATGGAGGAAGCTGGGTGATGGAGGAAGCTGGGTGATGGAGGAAGCTGGGTGATGGAGGAAGCTGGTGATGGAGGAAGCTGGGTGATGGAGGAAGCTGGGTGATGGAGGAAGCTGGGTGATGGAGGAAGCTGGGTGATGGAGGAAGCTGGGTGATGGAGGAAGCTGGGTGATAGAAGAAGCTGGAGATACGCGGCAACATATCATATTTTTATTAAATTTATGTAATACATCATTTGCTGATATTTGGTGATCAAGTGTAGCAGAAGATGTCGTAATGTGTTACATCTTGACACATAAAAATAATCTGTTGCAGTGCTAATAATGCGGTGAGAAATTTAGCTTAATGAGAATTAGTGATTTGTCTTGTGGGAAGCCGGCAGTGGGTCAGCTCGAGGAGAGATAGATAAAAAGATAGATAGATAGATAGATAGAGAGAGAGAGAGAGAGAGAGAGAGAGAGAGAGAGAGAGAGAGAGAGAGAGAGAGAGAGAGAGAGAGAGAGAGAGAGAGAGAGAGAGAGAGGGAGAGAGAGAGACTGGACAACAGGAGAGGAGGAAGGCAGCATGCTGGGATCACGCCAAAATTCTGGCGTCATTTTTTCCAAATTGTGTTAAAAATCATTAGTTAAATGACTCCGATAAACTGACAGTGATTCATTATCCGGAATTTGACAAATTTGTGCTGGATGCTTGGAAATCTGCCAGCTCAGAGGAGGGAAGATACCATTGTGAACCATAGTCACGTTTTTCACTCCCTAGAATTGTTTACATTGTATACCAGGGATCATGTAAACAATATTTGGATTAAAAAAAATCGTGTACTGGACGGGTAATGTTTGTCAGGGAACAGGACAAGTTTTTCCTGACGTGGGTCTTAGTTATATGATGATCCGCATCTGGAGCTTTTGGTCTTCTGACCGAGGCCTTCTGCTGGCTTACCTCTCCACCCCCTTAAAAAATTATGTTTATAAAGTTGGTTAAGAACAATTACTTTAACTAATCATTAAAATTTAAAAGAGTAAATCTTTCACGGAATATTTTTTTAATACAAATCTACAATAAGACTCGAATAAATTTCAAATACAGTGACTGTATGCGGGATACAATACGTCGTGAGTGTTAAGGTCAGATGAATATATATAAGGAGAGGAGAGCATCTGTTAGTGTATGTACACTGAGACGTGTGATTATCTGTATATTTGATCTGTATATAGACATCGAGAGCGAGGAAGAGGAAGAAGGAGAGGGAGAAGGAGAGGGAGGAGGAGAGGGAGGAGGAAGAGAGAGAGAGAGAGAAAGAGAGAGAAAACACATTCTTCTCAATGACTCACCTGTTTTTCTCGAAGAGAGACGTAGGTCTCGGTCTCCTGATGGTGGAGAGAGACTTGCCTGGGCGAGGCAGCTTCAGGAAACACTTGCGATAGGTCCTGTTGACTCGGCAGTGACACGCTCCCACCTGACGAGGGAACAGTTCAGTTACCCCTGGAACACAAGCATCATCAGAACACCTCCCCTTCAGGAAGGGGAGAGGTGTACTTCGACGTGGCGAAGTACACCTTCCTTCACTCCCCTCGGCCTTCTTATTTGTGAATATTTCCTCCCCCTCCTTCCCTCTGTGAATATTAGCTCCTAGGCAGAGGGGAAAATGGTTTTTATTTATCCCAGGCTATGATGGGTCGCCATGGTGGTTCTGCTTATCATGGGAGTTGGAATATCCTGTGATAATGGTCCTGGGAGACGGTAGACAAAGCAATACAATTTCAGACTTTACCCGATCACACATTTCTCATATTGATTGATTCTGGCTCGGTTGATTCTGGCTCGGTTGATTCTGGAGGTGTACCGGGGATCCTGGTATACCAAGTAGGATGGTTTACAAGCAGTATCAGCACTGCCTGCCACAACAAGGGGGATACACAGAAGGAATTAAATAATTTCTCTTTGTTTCTACTTGGAGCTGCCCATCTCTAACCTTCATTCTTTCTAAAAAAAATATGAATTGACATAATCATAAACAGTAATATTCATGTTTGCCCTAGAATACTTACTCCTAGGCGCCCTTACGTGACTCCGGCACGTCCACGGACGTCCCCTCGAAATGTATCACTTTTGGGCAACACCTCGTTGTCAGACTCCAGTACCGTATTCATGCTTATCCTTTTGTCACTCAGAACCTTCGCACTACTTTGACTATGTTCCCGGCATTCACAGTCCAGCATCGATGTTCAGGTTATTTGCTCGCCATAGGACAGACTGGCTCAGCACCGTCGTCCGAAGAACTTTGGACGACTCGAGTTGCTTCACCTCTTAGCTCACATTACAGAAAACAAGCTACCTTGAAACCTCTTCTCCTAGCAAACTGACCTTTTAAGATGCAGGAAGCTTCCAGCCTCAGTTTACGGAGCAGAACAACCTTTATAGGTGCTGGAATTGCCCCCAGCGCCGTAGCTAAGTATACACTGCTGGCGCTTCAGCCACCCGACCAAATTTTGCAGATCATTGACAGAATGCTCAGTCTGCGGTACAGATGATCATCCTGCAGCCAGCTTCTTCCTTCACTATGAAGCACACCAGCTTATTTCCGTCATTGTCCAGTTTTCATGCAAGTAAAATTTTCTGTCTTGAGGGAAATGAGAGCCTCTCATATGTTTTGGAAGTGATTCGACTCTGCCTTAAAGGAAGACTTCCACGGCTCTCCTACTCCAGGACTGCCCGGGAGGAGAGGTTCATGCTGTACTCTCTCCCACAGCAACCCTTATGTCCAACCCTTATACAGTCCTCACCTCTGACGTTCCTATCACTTCGTCTTCTTCCATTCTTCCTACTTCGTTCTCTTCCATTTCCCATGTGTCTCCTCCTATGTGAACACAGTGATGTTGTAGTGGCCAGGCATAGACTAGGTTATAAGTACTTCTGGCAGTTTATCAGACACACAGATGATCAGATCAACTGCAAAATATGTGACCAGCTCTATGATCACTATCTTGAACGCTATGTACCTAATTGACCACTTACTCAGAAATACAGAGATATAAATTACAATCTATGTGATATGTTAAGATAACGTATTATTTAAAATAAGATACCAGACATATTACGTAGATTTCCAAATTTGCTTGCAACATATAAATCAATGTAGACATAACTCCAGATGTTCTGTTAACCCCCACATACATCCTGCAAACTGGATGGATATGTGGGGCGTAATAAACTGTAGCCACTTCAGGAGCCACAGCCCAACTGGTCAGTACCTGACCAGTTGGGCTGTGGCTCGTACGTCCGTTTGCTTGCGGCCAGCTTTAACAACCTGGTTGATCAGACTCTGATCCACCGCAAGGCCTGGTCATGGATTGGGCCGCGGGAGCGTTGACTCCCGAAATTTTCTCCAGGTATACTCCAGGCTCACCCACCAAGCTCATACTCCAAGCTCATACTCCAACCTCATACTCCAAGCTCATATTCCAAGCTCATACTCCAAGCTCATACTCCAAGCTCATACTCCAGGCTCACCCAACAAGCTCATACTCCAAGCTCATACTCCAAGCTCATACTCCAAGCTCATACTCCAGGCTCACCCACCAAGCTCATACTCCAAGCTCATACTCCAAGCTCATACTCCATGCTCATATTCCAAGCTCATACTCCAAGCTCATACTCCAAGCTCATACTCCAAGTTCATACACCAAGCTCATACTCCATGCTCATACTCCAAGCTCATACTCCATGCTCATACTCCAAGCTCATACTCCAGGCTCACCCACCAAGCTCATACTCCAAGCTCATACTCCAAGCTCATACTCCAGGCTCACCCACCAAGCTCATACTCCAAGCTCATACTCCAACCTCATACTCCAAGCTAATACTCCAAGCTCATACTCCAAGCACATACTCCAGGCTCACCCACCAAGCTCATACTCCAAGCTCATACTCCAAGCTCATACTCCAAGCTCATACTCCAGGCTCACCCACCAAGCTCATACTCCAAACTCATAATCCAAGCTCATACTCCAAGCTCATACTCCAAGCTCATAGTCCAGGCTCACCCACCAAGCTCATACTCCAAGCTCATACTCCATGCTCATACTCCAAGCTCATACTCCAAGCTCATACTCCAAGCTCATACTCCAAGCTCATACTCCAGGCTCACCCACCAAGCTCATACTCCAAGCTCATACTCCAAGCTCATACTCCAGGCTCACCCACCAAGCTCATACTCCAAACTCATACTCCAAGCTCATACTCCAAGCTCATACTCCAAGCTCATACTCCAGGCTCACCCACCAAGCTCATACTCCAAGCTCATACTCCAAGCTCATACTTCAAGCTCATACTCCATGCTCATACTCCAAGCTCATACTCCAAGCTCATACTCCATGCTCATACTCCAAGCTCATACTCCAGGCTCACCCACCAAGCTCATACTCCAAGCTCATACTCCAAGCTCATACTCCAACCTCATACTCCAAGCTCATATTCCAAGCTCATACTCCAAGCTCATACTCCAAGCTCATACTCCAGGCTCACCCACCAAGCTCATACTCCAAGCTCATACTCCAAGCTCATACTCCAGGCTCACCCACCAAGCTCATACTCCAAACTCATACTCCAAGCTCATACTCCAAGCTCATACTCCAAGCTCATACTCCAGGCTCACCCACCAAGCTCATACTCCAAGCTCATACTCCAAGCTCATACTCCATGCTCATACTCCAAGCTCATACTCCAAGCTCGTACTCCAAGCTCATACTACAAGCTCATACTCCAAGCTCATACTCCATGCTCATACTCCAAGCTCATACTCCATGCTCATACTCCAAGCTCATACTCCAGGCTCACCCACCAAGCTCACCCACCAAGCTCATGCTCCAAGCTCATACTCCAAGCTCATACTACACACTCATCCACCAAGCTCATACTCCAAGCTCATACTCCATGCTCATCCACCAAGCTCATACTCCAAGCTCATACTCCATGCTCATCCACCAAGCTCATACTCCAAGCTCATCCACCATGCTCATACTCCAAGCTCATACTCCAAGCTCATCCACCAAGCTCATCCACCAAGCTCATACTCCAATCTCATCCACCAAGCTCATCCACCAAGCTCATACTCCAAGCTCATACTCCAAGCTCATCCACCAAGCTCATACTCCAAGCTCATCCACCAAGCTCATCCACCAAGCTCATCCACCAAGCTCATACTCCAAGCTCATGCTCCAAGCTCATCCACCAAGCTCATCCACCAAGCTCATCCACCAAGCTCATACTCCAAGCTCATACTCCAAGCTCATACTCCAAGCTCATCCACCAAGCTCATCCACCAAGCTCATACTCCAAGCTTCCAAGCGGGAGAGCATTTCACATCCATCAATTCATCCTTTAAGCCTTAATCTTCCATCCTCCATCAAATTCTCCGTAGTAGGAGGGAAGGGGACGGGAGGGGAAGGGAAGGGAGGGTAGAGGATAGAAAGGGAGCAGTGATATTGGTAGGCGGGCAGTGTAACTGGTAGGGAGTGGGATGGAGGTTATCGTAGTGGGCAGGGTGGGGTTGGGTGGAGGTTGTCAGTGTAGGCATTGGTGGGTTGGATGGCTGTGTCACGAAGAGCCAGACAGTGGGGAGGGTGGGGTTGGGTGGAGGTTGTCAGTGTAGGCAGTGGTGGGTTGGATGGCTGGGTCACGAAGAGCCAGACAGTGGGCAGGGTGGGGTTGGTGGAGGTTGTCAGTGTAGGCAGTGGTGGGTTGGATGGCTGGGTCACGAAGAGCCAGACAGTGGGCAGGGTGGGGTTGGGTGGAGGTTGTCAGTGTAGGCAGTGGTGGGTTGGATGGCTGGGTCACGAAGAGCCAGACAGTGGGCAGGGTGGGGTTGGGTGGAGGTTGTCATGTAGGCAGTGGTGGGTTGGATGGCTGGGTCACGAAGAGCCAGACATGGGCGGGGGGGGGTTGGTGGAGGTTGTCATGTAGGCAGTGGGGGTTGGATGCTGGTCACAAAGACCCAGACTGGGCAGGGGGGGGTTGGGTGGGGTTTGTCATGTAGGCAGTGGGGGTTGGATGGCGGTCCAAGAGCCAACGTGGGCAGGTGGGGTTGGGTGGGGTTGTCATGTACAGGGGGGGGGTTGGGATGCGGGGTCCGAAGCCCCAGACAGTGGGCAGGGGGGGGTTTGGGGTGGAGTTGTCAGTTCAGGGGGGTTGGGAAAGGCGGGGTCACAAAGACCAACAGGGGGCGGGGTGGGGGGGGTGGGGGTTTCAGTGTAGGCAGTGGGGGGTTGGATGGCTGGTCACGAAGACCAACAGTGGGCAGGGGGGGTTTTGGGTGGGGGTTGTCCAGTGTAGGCATGGGGGGGAGGCGGGGTCACGAAAGCCAGACAGTGGGGGGGTGGGGTTGGGGGGGTTGTCATGTGGCAGTGGGGGGGTTGGGATGGCGGGGTCACGAAGAGCCAGACAGTGGCAGGGGGGGTTTTTGGGTGGGGTTGTCATGTGGGCAGTGGGGGTTTTTAGGGGGGCACGAAGAGCCAACATGGGCAGGGGGGGGTTGGGGGTTGTCAGGTAGCAGGGGTTTTTTGGACGGCGGGGTCAACGAAGAGCCAACATTGGGCAGGGGGCTCAGGGCCAAAAAAAACTTAATTTTTATCAAAACTGATTCAGGAGGGTGTGGCTTTACCTTATTCACATGGATTACAACAAGGAAAAAAAAAAAGGGTGTTTTCTTGTTATTTTCCTAAAGGGAAATAGTTACATACACATGAATAACAAAAATTTTTTAAAAACATTTTTTTCATACCAATAAAAACCCCACAAAGAGACAAAAACCGGGAATTATTTAAAAGTATTTCGACCTCCTTTGGGGGATCCCTCACAGACCCTCCGAGTTTCTGTTCCTCCTATTTTCTGCCCCCCGGCGTTGGCCCCGGGGGCCCCCAAAGCCGGTCACCACCTGGAAAAAACCTGGATGGGGGCAAACCGGGGAACCACTAAAAAACGACAAAAAACCAGATAGCAAAAAAAGATCTTCAACACTCATTTTAAAGTTTATTTTCTACAGGACTTCAAAAGGCAGGGGAGGACTTCTTTTAGAGGGAAACGGGGGGAAGGGTTTCACTCGGGAGCTGCGCGCACCTACCCACCAACCACAAACCCCACCCCCCCCAAATCAAACCCCACCCCCATCAACCCGCGCAACCCACGGCCTCCACTCATCACCACTACTGGGGTATCGTGTCCCGTTTTTTCCCTTTTTTTCGTGAAAATGGAGAGTCTAACCCGGACTTCCTCGTGGTGATGCGATTCTCATCTGTGAGCGAACACATGGCGAAGTTCCCATGAGACAGCTGGAAGTAAGGGTCTTTATAAATCCAAGGAAAGGAGAAGACACTGTCCTGGCGAGTATTATACGCCCGAGCAGAGAGAGACTTGCGTGGTGGCAGCCGTGCGGAAGGAAGTGTACTATGTCCGCGTCTACTGGAATCCCATTTTAGGAAGTGAATGAGTTGTAGGTGGAGACTGGATTCTATTTCACACTGGAACTGTAAGCTGTGCATACAGCTGGAACTATTACCGCATTTTACACCGCTGTAAGTCATATTTCAATCTATACTGACATTCATTGCCTTTAACGCCTTTTTCACCCAGTTTCCTTCGGTATTAATATTATATTTCCCCCTTGGCTGTTCCTTGATTAAGTGATAATTGATTACAAGTGGTTATAACCCTTAAATCTGCACATAATTCAATCCTATGACTTGTCCTATAACCCAGTGGTTATGGTACGAGTCTCATTCTCTTTGTGCAAGATTCAGTTTTCTTCAGAGGTGTTATGATCAAGTATCCCAAGTGGGCAGTGTTGTTATTATTATTTAATTTAGAGGGTATAATGAAGCGTAATTAATGCACCTCGTGTTAGTGCCTTTCTTTTATGGCTACTAATAATTTATTACATGTAAACTACATTACCTGTATACTGCAGACAAAAAAATAAAATTATTATTATTATTATTATTATTATTATTATTATTATTATTATTATTATTATTATTATTATTATTATTATTATTATTATTATTATTATTATTATACAGGGGATGGTGAGGGTAGAAGTCTCGGCCTGTCTATGCTGGTTATCCATAGTTATTCATAGTTACCTGTTTCTCGCGTCTGGTTCTAACACCACCACCACTACCACCACCACTACCATCACCACCACCACTACCATCACCATCACCAAAACCACCATCACCACCACCATCACCACCACCACCCACTATACCACCACCACCACCATTATCACCACCACCACCACTACCACCACCACCACTACCACCATCATCACCACTACTACCACCGCCACCACCACCACCATTATCACCACCATCACCACCACCACCACCACCACCACCACCACCACCACCACCACCGTGGTACCACCACCACCACCACCACCACCACCACCACCACCACCACCACCACCACCACCACCACCAGTCAGATACTCACCACCAAGACGAAGATGAGTAAGGCGGAGGCCAGAGTGGCTATAGCCACATAGATATTCTTCATGTGGTTGAGAGGCATCCGGAGGGGTATATGGACGTCCAGGGGCACGGGTTCCACCGTACCCACAGCACCAACCATCTCCGGCACAGCGTCGTCTGAAAAACGTAAGAATGTGCTTTACAAGTGGATGGGAAAGAGGTGATGTTATGGGAGGGAAGATGTGAAAAGGGAGTAGGAGAGGGAGATTACGTAGGATGGAAGGAGTAAGAAGGATGAATAGAGGGAGAGAGTGTTAAAGAGAGAGGGTGAAAGACCAAGACTATTTAAAAAATATTAATCCAAAATATATATATAAAGTGCGGAAGCCAACTGCACCACTAACATGTTGCTGCGACTCAGTGGTAGTGGAGGAAACTTAGTCAAGGAGAAACACGAGTGGAGTACAAAAGCAGAAGAGATCAATAATAACTTGCGTTAAAAGCCTATCCACTATACGAGGCGTATATACGCTTAATACACATCTCTGGGTGATCTAGCCTGCAATATACAGCCTTCTTGATGTATTAGTAAAAGCACTAAGATAAGAGTGAACTGTCTTGTACAATTGACAATTAATGGAGGCGTGAGAAGACAACTTTATAGGCTAAGAGAAGGTAAATAAAACAAAAACACGTAAATATAAGAACAGATAAATATAACGAAACAGAGAAATATAACACAGGAGAAAAAGGTCTGAATATATCGGTCTAAATTAGAGATATCAGATCATCTGCTGAAGAGGGTCCCTGACCGAGGCCGAAATATACAGAAACTTTCTATTGCTTTATTTCCCGTCCATCAATGATTTAACTGTCCATTCATCAATACTGTAATGATAATAGCACTTGATGATATGAATTATAGCAACATTCAACTGACATAAAAAGACCGAAATGTTAATAGCTATCAAATATTTTCTAAAATATATATATATATATATATCTTTATATAAAAAAATAATATAAACGATATAATAAAAAGATCACATGGGCAACATGAGCCTCGGATCAAAAGCTACGTGCAAACACGGCCGTCGGTCTGTACACAACCGCTTGCCGACCATTGTGGCGTCTCACGGTACACAGTAGCCCTGAGGAGTGGATCTGCCTGACCGTGTGAAAGGCAACTGAGAGGTGTGGAGAGATTTATGGGGCTGAAGTGTCGTGCAGAGAGCACAAGGAGCCCAGAACACACTGGAGGCTACTGCTACAATGACATGGTGTGCAGGACAAGCATTTTTCCACGACAGAACATGGGAAAAGCAGGTAAATGGTGTATCTAAGACAAATACAAATTTGTTAAGGCATAGGCTTGCTGTATTTATGCATTTTAATTCGTCAAGGTTTTATTTGAGCAACGTTGCGTTCAAGGTTGAGCTTGATCAAGCCATTCACTTGATAATTATCTACCCCGAGAGTAACACTGTCGTACTAAAAGCTTGATCGACATGTCGTATCTCCACAGTCAGTGCTGTGGGCACTACGCCACTACACCAGCACAAACAGCTGCTTCTACATGGGTAAACTGAATGTTGAAACTCACAAGCATAAAGCTCACGCATGCAGCTCTCACTTTGGTCTCTAGGCTGGAATTACGACACAAAGCTTGAGAGTATCGTAGATGTAAGACGTAGGTGTGAGACGCAGGTGTGGGCCCTAAGTGTGAGAGGTAGGTGTGAGACACAGACGCGTATCACAGATATAGGCGTGAGACACATTTGTATCACAGATGTAGATGTGAGACACAGATGTGTATCACAGATGTAATCCTAATGGCTACATTACGGTCGTCAGAGACTTAACTTACATAGTTCTTGTAATTTATCTACTTACCCTTAGCATACATCTACTGTGTCTTTAACTTGATGTATTTCTGACTTCTGCTTACTGGTTATAATTAATAAAACCGCTTTTCCGACGACCTTTTAACAAGACACCATTACCAGCACCACTAGTTGAAAACCACCCTCTGCCACCAAGTATGTTTTTTCTGCCGACCAGCATGTGTATGTGTAAATGTACGTGTGTGTGTTCAATCAATTTTAGAGCAAGTCAGTCCCAGAGAAGGAATCCAACCTTAAGTTATATTAACTATTTTCAAATGGCCGACTTGTTGAAAAAAAATATATATAATTTCAGGTATATGTGTATGCATTAAGTGAATTCATGAGTGATGGAAAAAGACTTGTCTACCTCTACGATCAGTCATGCACCGTGGACCTAGCAAGTGCGAGGATGATTAGGCGGTAAGCAGGTGTTCAAGGATGGGAAGTGACCATGCAAAAGCAAGAATCAAGGAATGGCAGTCATGCAAGAGTGAGTGACGAGGGCCAAGAGGAAAGGGACACACCTGGGCACATCTATCTGCATGACTAAAACAACACCTGCACATACATACATCTGCAGAGTGGACACATGGAAAGGCAAAGCAGAAGCGAAACCCTATCCTGCCCTCCCCTACTTGTATCACCACCACCAACTGCATTGCCACCAGCACCACCACCAGCAACAGCACCATGAGCACCACTACCACCATACAACCACTAGACTTGCAACACGCACCATCTCATGCACCACCACCTGCATTACCAGCATCACCCACATGTACAGATTTATAAAAGAGAGCACATGGAGAGACTAGCCATGCCACACCATCACCACAGCTTCAGTGACAACTCACTGAGCCTCAGTGACAAGTTACTGAAGCTTTGGAAACAGGGAAAAGTTTCCTTAACCACTGTGAAGAGGTCAACACTACTTTCTATGATGACAGTATGGAATGAGACTGTGTGAAGCTGGTAAGACGCAGACATGGGATTATAACATCAGGGTTGATGTACACAAGGTGTGAGTTCTGAATAATACTTGGTGCTAGCGACTCATACTGGTGAGTCAGGAGCAGCAACTGGCAGCACCGACTAGTACTGGTGAGTTAGGAGCAGCAACTGGCAGCACCTACTAGTACTGGTGAGTCAGGAGCAGCAACTGACATCGACTCGTACTGGTGAGTCTGGAGCAGCAACTGACATCGACTCGTACTGGTGAGTCTGGAGCAGCAACTGACATCGACTCGTACTGGTGAGTCTGGAGCAGCAACTGACATCGACTCGTACTGGTGAGTCTGGAGCAGCAACTGACATCGACTCGTACTGGTGAGTCTGGAGCAGCAACTGACATCGACTCGTACTGGTGAGTCTGGAGCAGCAACTGACATCGACTCGTACTGGTGAGTCTGGAGCAGCAACTGACATCGACTCGTACTGGTGAGTCTGGAGCAGCAACTGACATCGACTAGTACTGGTGAGTCTCCAGGATAAGAACCAGTAGTAGGAACTCGCATTGGTGTGTCCAGAACAGCAGTTGGTGGCAGTGACTTACTGGTGCTCGTCCAGAACTGTTTACCTGAAGTTTACCTGGAGAGGGTTTCGGGGGTCAACGCCCCCGCGGCTCGGTCTGAGACCAGGCCAGGCTAGCACTATAGTCACTGCTAGCCAATTGTAACAACAATACGGGGAAAGATAAAACTTCATTAAATAAACTGACACTCCTACATTAACAGAAAGAATATTCTGAAGGCAGCAGTTACAGGTTACCCACATACCGAAAAAAAAAAATATGAAGCAACAGTGAGTCAAAATTGTTAAAAACAATGATGTTTAACGAAATTTAAATCAAATTTAATATGTCCTGGTTGTAACTATATTAAATATGGAAGAGCTTTTAATATTATCCTTGCATTTAACAGGTAACGAAACACCAAAAATTATATAAATATTTCGTACTTCCACTGAAATGCCAAGGCAAAGAGTTTTATTATGTGACACAATAAGCTGTCAACACTACGCACAAACGTTCCTCTTTAACTAAGGTAAAATAGGTTTAAACATGAACAAAGGGATAAATTAGACAGGCTGGTGGAAATAGGAGGTGCAAGGTCTGAGTTGACCTAAAGTGAACCTTCTTACCCCACTTCACAAGGTTCATGATCATTAGGAAGGTGGTGCCAGATGGGTGTTGGCATAGACTGGGCTACTCTGCCACACTAACTAGGTTAGATGCCTATAGTATTAGCATATTTGTCATGTCATTTACATTAAAAAAATATCAAGTAAATGCTAGGTAACGAGTAGGACTCGAATCAATTGCAAGAGAGTTCTAAAACTAGCAGGCCATTGTACTCAACACTTGAAAATGTAGGCTTAAAAAAGATTCAAGCAATTAGGCTAGATGAATCTAAGCTTGCTAGATTAAATGGCAACACGATGCCGGTTTAATAAGATTCATCCAGTAAGGTAGGTAAAACCTAGTGTTGAATACACTAAAACTGACCTGCCATGAGTTCCAGCCCAACACTTTTCCTGAGCAGTGTACCCTCACGTTATTACGATTGTCACCAACAATAATTGTTAGTGTGTTAAGCAACATACATACTAGACAGCGAGTACAAAACACAAAGGTCTCAAAGTGTTGACACTCTTGTCCTCCGTCTGATGGTTGCAGATAACTTTAGCGGAGGACCAGGTTATGATGGCTATGATTACTAATATTACAGGAACAAAGTATTTATGGTGTCAGCAAGGCGACACTGTTTTTTTGGGCTCTGTAAGTCAGTTGGATAGGGAGAGGCCAGTTTTAACAATATATTAGAGAGGACAGAGGAACAGAAAATAACATTCAATATATCAGTTTCTACAGAAGTATGTACCAGATTGGTCTGAAGTGTATTAACACAGTGAAAGTTTAACATTCGGAGTACATAGTGTTATTAACTTCAGAGACATAAACCACTCCACTGATGTTGCTTCAGGGAGAGAAACTCTTTATTTTAAGAATAATTCTGGCGGCTTCGTTTTCTACAAATTTAAAGAACAGAACAAAATCGAATGACTTACTGATACTGACAATACTCTTTTTTTTTTGTTATGAATGTGACCATACCCATTCCTCAAACTGCTCCTGTTGCAAAAAAAAAAAAAAATAATTCCTTCATCGAGCCTTCACGGACGCAGTTGTGTTTAAAAGGCCCTTGTAAGAAAAAAAAATCAACTTGCCTTTCAGAGATACAAGAGCGAAAATATATAAGACAATTATGAGTATATTGTTCAACATGCTCAAAGACCTGGGCATAATCATCCCTTCCTTGGATCGAACCTGAATGCCTCCCATTCCTTAATCGTTATACGACCAATACGGGTAAAGTGCGTTCCAGTCAATAAAATTACACGAAAATGGCTCAACATGCCAAATTCAAAACCATTTTTAAACCATTTATGAGATATCAACGTATTAAAAAAAAAAGCCTCGAACCACAGGAAATTGGCCATAGAAAATCTTTCTTAGACTGCAATTCACACTGACTGTTTAGCACAGACGTTTCCAACGTATTTTAGGTGCCGCTCCCTATCGTAGTTGGTCCTTATATTTATATATATATATATATATATATATATATATATATTATATATATATATATATATATATATATATATATATATATATATATATATATATATATAAAGTTGTCTAGATTTGCATTAAATTTAGTGGAAGGCGAGCCTGCTAGGCTGCAACTGAAAGTCACTGTACGGTTATTTGTACACAATATGTTCAACCAGTCCGTTCGAAACGAGAAAGTGCAATCTTGCCAAGGTAAAAATACGACGTTTACCTAAATTTAGTCACTTTTAAGTGGAATTTTACCTTTTAGTTACCACTTAGGACTTTTTCAACTGTGTTTGGAAGGAGACTTTACCTTTCCCCATGAAAATCCAAATAAGAACATGCAAACACATGCTAAAGCCGGTCCTTATTTTTACTCAGGGTTTGAGCCATCATCCCAGCAAATTACTCACGTCCTACACCACAAGGACTCGAGGCAACCACCGGTTGAGAACCGGTGATCCAGCATATCGTCGGGTCATAATGTACTTACATGAATATGGTTGTGTCTATGGGTCACTGAGCTATCGCTCAGAGTCGACTCCATTCTGTTGTTGCATACTTTTCTTCCAGTCTCTTTCTAAGCAAACAAGAAATTCCAGAAACCTTTACGGCCCAATTTACACAGATAGTTCTCCTTTATCATTTCATGTTAGTGACTGAAATTCCCTGGAAATCTAAAAAAAATTCTGAAATTATTACTCTAAAGCAAAACCAGAAAGAATTATTTATAATTAGTAAATTATATATAAAAGCCAGTAACAATAACTTATAGTGGCTATCTGTTTTACGCCTGACTGTACATGTTAGGTAATAAACAAATAATTCAATTGTAGCACGTAAAACACGTTAAACTGGGAAATTTGTCATCGTTTAACATTAAGGTTTATATATATATATATATATATATATATATATATATATATATATATATATATATATATATATATATATATATATATATATATATATATATATATATATATATATATATATATATATATATGTACCCTCATTTAATATCCTCAGTCATTGGCTGGATTCAGGTGAACTTTTCTCGGCGCTTGAATTGGTAGATCGTTGTTTTATCTCTCCAGCATGAGATAAATTAGATTGGTATACTATATATGAAGTTATTATATCGTAATCTGGACAGATGTGCTGGTTAATACGTCCCACTCGGGTAATTAGGAAATGCTGTTAGGTACCCAGCACATTAACTTCCTGAGTCAAGACGCAGGTAAAAGGACAATGAGTTTGTTTTTCACTTCGTTATTGCCCTTGTTTGACACATTTCTGCCTGCAAGAATAAAAAGGAACAATACGTGACTGGAACAACACACAAATAACCCACAAATAGGAGGGAGGAGCTTACGACGACGTTTCAGTCAGTCTTGACTTGTAAATGGTTTTAATCGGAGCGAAACGTCGCCGTAAGGTTCTAATCCTATGTGCGGGTTATTTGTGAATTCTTCCCAGAAGCCCACGCCCTGCCTCGGAGAAGATCCATAAGCAGTGCCGTTGATAGTCACGCAGCCACGCCCACTCACGCCTTGGCTAATGCAGGATCCTCAGGCAGTGCAGTCAACAGTCACCCTGCCACGCCCTACACACACCCACGCCTACTAACGCCCACCCAAACTCATCCACGCCCTGCCTCTGGGAGGAGCCACCAGTCAATAGTCCACCGGCCGCGTCTAGCCTCAACATCTCGCTCTCCTTGCCTTTACAATTAATCCTGAATGCCTTCCACATCCCCCCCCCCAGGCGCTGTATAATCCTCCGGGTTTAGCGCTTCCCCCTTGATTATAATAATAATAATCCTTGCCTTTACCTTTGCTTTTTTCCTCATTTTTTGCCTTCCCCTTTTCTATTTTTTAGTTTCTGATTCTTACTGTTATAGATGCCATATGCCTCTACTTAAGCTGCCAATTCTTATCGTACTAATTCATGCACATGCTCTTTACCATATGATCCGTTGAGAACGAAGCCTGTTGTACCACGCTGTTTTTCATTTGTTTCAGTAATTCCATATCATCTGTTGTACCTGTTTCTGTAACTCTCTCACATCATGTGTTCCTGGTTCAATAAATCTTTCATATCTGTTGTCCCTGTCTCTCCCACATCATCTGTTGAATCTGTTTTTGTAACTCTTCCACACTATCTGTTGCCTGTTTCAGTAGCTGTTCCACATCAGCTGCTGCTCCCTATCTGGTCTTAAATACCTTCAACTCTGTTCTTTGTTTTCCAAACTTAGTGATCCCTGCACCTTGCATTCCACCTAGTGTGACTCCTGTACCCTTCCCCCCTAGTGTCACTCCTATTCCCTTCCCCCTAGTGTGACTCTGTACCCTCTCCCTAGTGCTAGCCAATCCACATGGAGTGATTCCCGTACCCAGCACTCTATGTGAATTTCATAAATCTGTACCCCAAGTGACTCGTGTTCCCAGCGCCTCTCCCTAATGTGATTTCTGTACCTTGCGCCCCACCTAGTGTGAATCCTGTGCCCCACTTTACACCCTGGCGGACAGCATGCAGCAGGAGGGATGCCCGGCGACGTGCCCCGGGAGCTTGGCCTGCGTCACTCACCGTGGACCTCCTGCAGGATACCTTGACAAGTGGTTCCGGTAAAGCCAGGACGACACGCGCAGAAGAAGAGGTGCGCCTCAGGAACCACCCAACAGGTGCCGCCGTTGTCGCAGGGGTTGGGTGTGCACAGCTGCGGGCACAACTCTGTCTCAGACAAGAATATCTTACAGAAGCACGCAGCTGCAACAGTTCACAACTATAGGACGAAAAGACTTGTAAAACAAACGATGGATATTATTGCAACAACGCTATTTTCTTTGTCTCTCCGTCCATCTGTCGGCTCCTGCCTCCTTCTCCCAACTTACAAGTATCCTACAAACTGAAGTTGAAACCCAACGTCTCTCTTAATCCAACACCAGTATCAAAGTGGCTCTTGATATTGTTTCTGGACAGACTGAAATGTCAACTAATTCCTTATCCAATTGTGAGTCCATTGTGAATTTGTTGTATTGCTTCTGCAACTTGTCTAAAGTTAAATTCATTGAAGGGAAACTTAAGGAAATGATATCACAGTGACCAACAATCACTACAACAAAAGCTAATCTTAAAAGTCTAATTATGTTTGATAAACTAAATATCTATATGATAATTGTTAATTTTGATCACTAGGGAGAAAATATCCAGGTAATTATCCACAATCAAGACAAAGGTGAGAGGGAAGCTGTGGGCTTTCTTGGAACATTTGCTAAATGCTGCTTGAAAATTCATGAATTCCTTAAGTGAAAAAATCACTGTCCTAGTGTGAGTGACGAAGACGTATGTGTGAGAACCAGATTTATGAGTGAAACAGATTTAGCTCTGCATGAATCTAACTTACTTTGCGGTACACCCGACCTACCTGCGTGTTAATTTGACCTACCTGTACTTGAACCCTATCTACATCTGTGTAAACTCGACCTACTTGTACGTGAACCTTACCTACCTCTGTGTAAACTCGACCTACCTATGGCTGAACTTAACCTACTTACTTGTGACCCCGAACTACCTTAATGAGAACCCGACCTACCTGCGTGTGGGGGCCGCAGTTGTCCTCGCTGAAGCCATTGAGACACTCGCAGGAGTAGCTGTTACCTTTGTCCACACAGACCCGGCTGGCAGGGCAGGGGTCCGGATTACACAAGTCGTACTGCAAATAATAATAATAATAATAATAATAATAATAATAATAATAATAATAATATAATAATAATAATAATAATATCTTTATTTATTACAAGTACATGTACAAGGTATACAGGCTTAGCTGATATCAATGACATACTACTATATAGAAAGCCGCTTGTTATGCTGAGAATTTCAGGAAATTAGGTCAGTTTTGTCCCAGGATGCGACGCACACCAGTCGACTAACACCCAAGTACCCATTTTACTGATGGGTGAACATAGACAACCGGTGTAAGGAAACACGCCTAATGTTTCTACCCTCGCTGGGAATCGAACCCGGACATTCACCGTGTGAAGAAAGAGCTTTTGCCACAAGGCCACAGGGCACCGTAGGCCACGGGGCACCGTAGTCCAGCATTATACTGTGGCGCCATGGTTCCAGTTGTAGATAGTAAGCCTACTGCTACTTCTCATAGTCCCCCCTTGAAGCTAGTTTGTTGTGGACTTAGTTCCCCTGAGTGCCCACCAGACGGCACTGCCTCAAGTTATACATACACAGCCATGTCTCTCACTCGACCTGCGGCCTTCCAGTTAACAACCTTCCCTCTCGGACTGGCTCAGGCTCACCTTTCACTGCCCGCTGTGAACCCCATTATCCCAATAAAGAGGCAAGATAATGGCCGTATATCTCACCTACCTCTACGATACCCGGCAAGTTACTAGATCAGTCTAAAAATCAGTAATAACACAATAACATGGTCCAGGCAGAGGGCAGGTGAGGCTCCACCGTGATAACTCATACACAAGTCTTACTGAAGTAGCAAATCACACGCTAAAGCTTGAAGATTGTTGCTTTGTAATCGTTTAGTCTTGAAATTTAATCTTAATGTGAAATTTTGACGAAAAGTTTAATACAATAATTCGAAATGACCTGAAATTCTTTCCCAGATATTCTCTCGGGTAGGCACTCTGAACGGCTGGAAGGCAGGTAATCAGGACGGCAGGTAATCAGGAAAGCAAGTAATCAGGAAGGCAGGTAATCTGGATGACTGGAGTGCAGGTAATTGGGACGTTGGAAGGCTGGATGTCTTAGTCTCGAGGGAGAGCCAGCTCGTGCTGGTCTGGTGTTTACCAAAAGGATGAGGGACAACTAATGAAATAATAGAACCGCAGCTCCCATTTCAAACCAGTAACATAAGTGAGTTATATTTTCGCTTGTTGGTGCTCTCTTCCTGGCTGATGTTGGGGCTCTCAGCGCCAAGGTGGTCCGGGGCTCAGATTACAACAATGGAGCATCTGCTACCCTATGGGTACATTGGTGTTGCAACAACGGTAAACGGCAGACACTACACCTACGGCAAACGGAGAACAGACTTTTATCACTACGTTAAGCGAAGTATTGTTACAACGAAGACGAATAGGTGATCATAACAACGACAAAGGATGTTGTCGCAACTCAAAACGAATCTTTACAGAAAGGAAAGTTAATTTGCGAGTGTTGTTGTAAATCTCAGCTAACTTACGCAACCGAGCTTGCTCACACGACTCCTTCAGGACACCGGCCACAGGTCGTCATGTTAACACTGCAGCAGGAGGGATGCTTTACCATATCTGGCTGTATGACCCTTGTGAGTCAAGCGCTTAATTATTATTATTATTTTCACCATATCAGGCCTTTTCTCAAGCAATAATGTTTGTTACAAGGCACATTGGAACATGGGAACATGGGAACATGGGTACATGGGAACATGGGAACATGGGAACATGGGAACATGGGAACATGGGTACATGGGAACATGGGAACATGGGAACATGGGTTCATGGGAACATGGGAACATGGGAACATGGGTACATGGGAACATGGGTGCATGGGAACATGGGTACATGGGAACATGGGTACATGGGAACATGGGAACATGGGAACATGGGTACATGGGAACATGGGTGCATGGGAACATGGGAACATGGGTACATGGGAACATGGGAACATGGGAACATGGGTACATGGGAACATGGGAACATGGGAACATGGGTACATGGGAACATGGGTGCATGGGAACATGGGAACAAGGGAACATGGGTACATGGGTACATGGGAACATGGGAACATGGGAACATGGGTACATGGGAACATGGGTGCATGGGAACATGGGAACACGGGTACATGGGTACATGGGTACATGGGAACATGGGTGCATGGGAACATGGGTGCATGGGAACATGGGTACATGGGAAAAAGGGTACATGGGAACATGGGAACATGGGAACACGGGAACATGGGAACACGGGAACATGGGAACATGGGTACATGGGAACATGGGAACATGGGAACATGGGAACATGGGAACACGGGAACATGGGAACACGGGAACATGGGAACATGGGTACATGGGAACATGTGAACATGGGTACATGGGAACATGAGTACATGGGAACATGGGTACATGGGAACATGGGTACATGGGAACATGGGTGCATGGGAACATGGGTACATGGGAACATGGGAACATGGGTACATGGGAACATGGGAACATGGGAACATGGGAACATGAGTATATGGGAACATGGGTACATGGGAACATGGGAACATGGGAACATGGGTGCATGGGAACATGGGTACATGGGAACATGGGTACATGGGAACATGGGAACATGAGTATATGGGAACATGGGTACATGGGAACATGGGTACATGGGAACATGGGTGCATGGGAACATGGGTGCATGGGAACATGGGTACATGGGAACATGGGTACATGGGAACATGGGAACATGAGTATATGGGAACATGGGTACATGGGAACATGGGTACATGGGAACATGGGTACATGGGAACATGGGTACATGGGAACATGGGAACATGGGTACATGGGAACATGGGAACATGGGAACATGGGAACATGAGTATATGGGAACATGGGTACATGGGAACATGGGAACATGGGAACATGGGTGCATGGGAACATGGGTACATGGGAACATGGGTACATGGGAACATGGGAACATGAGTATATGGGAACATGGGTACATGGGAACATGGGTACATGGGAACATGGGTGCATGGGAACATGGGTGCATGGGAACATGGGTACATGGGAACATGGGTACATGGGAACATGGGAACATGAGTATATGGGAACATGGGTACATGGGAACATGGGTACATGGGAACATGGGTGCATGGGAACATGGGTACATGGGAACATGGGAACATGGGTACATGGGAACATGGGAACATGGGAACATGAGTACATGGGAATATGGGTACATGGGAACATGGGAACATGGGAACATGGGAACATGGGAACATGGGAACATAGGAACATGGGAACATAGGAACGTGGGAACATGGGAACATAGAAACATGGGAACATGGGAACATGGGAACATAGGAACGTGGGAACATGGGAACATAGGAACGTGGGAACATGGGAACATAGGAACGTGGAACATGGGAACATAGGAACATGGGAACATAGGAACGTGGAACATGGGAACATAGGAACATGGGAACATCATCATATATTTATTACATATTATCTTGTTTTTACATACGTGTAATTTTATTGATCGTACTTTATTTACTCTAATTCATTTATTATATCTCATTTATATTTTTTCACAAATTATCATAACTTATCCGAGGTATATTCATAACTCTTATTATCAACAATGTCGTAAGTGACAACAAGGAACTTACGACAAGTTGCTAAACTTGGGGATTGTGACTTAACTTACTTCAGTTTACAGTTCAGTGCCTGAGATTCTTTGTTTTATATAAGAGGAGGCAGAAAATTATAAAAATAGCTCAACCTTCGTTATAAGAAAAGTTTCTCAGCGCTGTCATAGGTGTCTCTTCTAATTTACAACGTTGAAGACAGAAATTATTTAATAATTTCTCGCTCTTTTCCGAAAAAAAGATTTTCCTTATTGATTCTTCTGTTAATATTTTACAGTTATCTGGGATTCTTACTCTACATAACAATTTACGTCTTGGACATCCATAATAATTGCACACACGCACACACACACACACACACACACACACACACACACACACACACACACACACACACACACCACACACACACACACACACACACACAGTTCCTCACAAGAGATTAGTGCAGAAGCAAGAGGATCAGGCGCGTATAATAGGAAAGGCACTGCAATGGATCAGAGAATACCTGACAGGGAGGCAACAACGAGTCATGGTACGTGATGAGGTATCACAGTGGGCACCTGTGACGAACGGGGTTCCACAGGGGTCAGTCCTAGGACCAGTGCTATTTTTGATATATGTAAATGACATGATGGAAGGGATAGTCTCAGAAGTGTCCCTGTTTGCAGATGATGTGAAGTTAATGAGGAGAATTAAATAGGATGAGGATCAGGCAGGACTACAAAGAGACCTGGACAGACTGGACACCTGGCCCAGCAAATGGCTTCTCGAATTCAACCCTGCCAGATGCAAAAGTCATGAAGATTGGGGAAGGGCAAAGAAAACCGCAGACAGAGTATAGGCTAGGTGGACAAAGACTGTAAACTTCACTCAAGGAGAAAGATCTTGGGGTGACCATAACACCGAGCATGTCTCCGGAAGCACACATCACCCAGATAACTGCTGCAGCATACGGGCGCCTGGCAAACCTGAGAATAGTGCTCCGATACCTTAATAAGGAATCGTTCAAGACACTGTACACTGTGTACGTCAGGCCCATACTGGAGTATGCAGCACCAGTCTGGAACCCACACCTGGTCAAGCACGTCAAGAAGTTAGAGAAAGTACAAAGGTTTGCAACAAGGCTAGTTCCAGAGCTCAGGGGATTGTTCTACTATGAAAGGTTGAGGGAAATCGGACTGACGACACTGGGGGACAGAAGGGTCAGGGGAGACATGATAACGACATACAAGATACTGCGTGGAATATATAAGGTGGACAAAGACAGGATGTTCCAGAGATGGGACACAGAAACAAGGGGTCACAACTGGAAGCTGAAGACTCAGACGAGTCACAGAGATGTTAGGAAGTATTTCTTCAGTCATAGAGGCGTCAGGAAATGGAATAGCCTAGCAAGTGACGTAGTGGAGGCAGGAACCATACACAGATTTAAGACGAGGTATGACAAAGCTCAGGAAGCAGAGAGAGAGAGAGGACCTAGTAGCGGTCAGTGAAGAGGCGGGGCCAGCAGCTGAGTCTCGACAACTGCAACAACAATTAGGTGAGTACAGTTAGGTGAGTACACACACTGGATAGTTTCCCAACATAATTAAACAGCAGTCTACCTGGAGTCTACCTGGATGGTATTTCGGGGACCAACGCCGTCGCGGCTCGGTCCACCACCAGGTCTCAAGGGTGGATCAGGGCCTGATCAACCAGGCTGTTACTGCTGGCCGCACGTTGTCCAACATACGAACCACAGCCCGGCTGATCCGGCACCGACTTTAGTATCTGTCCAGCTCCCTCTTGAAGGCAGCCAGGGGCCTATTGGTAATTCCCCTTATGCTTGGTGGGAGGCTGTTGAACAGTCTTGGGCCCCGGACACTTATGGTGTTTTCTCTTAGTATACCAATGGCGCCCCTACTTTTCATTGTGGGTATTTTGCATCGCCTGCCCAGTATTTTACTTTTGTAGGGAGGGATTTGTGTGTGCAGATTCGGGACCATTTCTTCTAGGATTTTCCAAGTGTAGATTATGATATATCTCTCTCGCCTGCGTTCCAGCGAGTACAAGTCAAGTGCTTCCAAGCTGTACTGGCTTCTCAAGCATCATTCCAGTCACTCTACTGACATCCCTGTCACTGCACTGACATCATTTCTGGCAATGAACTGGCATCATTCCTAGCACTGTACTGACATCTTTCCTGGCACTGTACTGGCATTATTTCAGGCCCTGTACTGACATCATTCCTGGCATTGTACTCACCTTGACCTCGCAGTGGATGCCTGTGTAGCCTCGGCCACAGAAACACCTGTAGCCGCCCACCTGGTCGATACAAGTGCCCCCGTTAGTACACGGGTTCGACTCGCACTCGTTGTACTCAAACTCACAGCGGTCACCGCCGTACCCTGGGAGAGAAGATACAGTTTTAGTCACCGCTGTATTCTTGTGGAGAGACACAGCTGTACCCTGGGGTGAGCCCACACACACACATTGTTATCATCGTTGCACCATGGGGAGAGTCAGGACACACACATTATTATATTTACCGGCAAGATCTAAACTCGCAAGGGTTATCCAGCGCTCGGGGGAATAACAAGTTAATTAGGTTTGTTCCGAGGTAGGGGAGGGTAACTCAGATTAATTAGATTAAGTGTCCTTCGCCAGCCCTACACCCTTCCCCCATTCACCCCTTCTTCCCCTTCTCCTTCCCCTCCCCTCCCCTACAACTCTAGCCTTACACTTTCCACGTAATGATGCACACACACACCAGCCCAAACCTTACCTACGCTACACCTGACTGATGCGCGACAGAAAGTCTGAAAACACAAGCCAGAGCTTGTGTTGTCAGGGTGTGGTACACAGAGATATATGCATTACGAAACAAGAGGAGTGATTTCATAGAACGAATAGCTGAGGCAGTCCCAGAAATCATAGATATCACAGAAACAAAGGTAACTCAAATTATTACAGATGCCATATTTCCAGTAGGATACCATGTAATGAAGAAAAATAGAGAAAATGGGGAAAGACAGAGGAGTAGCACTGAGTTAAATGACTGCGTAATAAACATTCTTAAGACTGGAGGATCTACAGTAATAGTAGTGGTTGTATACAACCCTCCACCAAACAGTAGGTAGAACAAGAAGAGCTCAATCGTGACTGATTTAAACAACAAAGACACAAATTCGCAGAGGTTACACATGTACAATTTTTTATTAGGTTATGTTAGATTAGAATAGGTTAGAGCAAGGTAAGACTGAGGGACTGATTACCTCATCTTTCACTGTCTTCTATGAATAGTTCTGATAGGCTGAGGGACTGATTGTCTCATCTTCTATTGTCATCGTGTATCATCTGATAAAGCCACTGGTATCTACATCCTCTTAGTATTATAATTCCACTCCTGTAGCTACACACAGGTAAATAATAATAATAATAATAATAATAATAATAATAATAATAATAATCCCCATAGGGAAGTGGAAAATAATCTTTCCTCCGTAAGCCATGCGTGTCGTAAGAGGCGACTAAAATGTCGGGACCAAAGGGCTAGTAACCCCTTCTCCTGTATACATTACTTAATGGAAAAAAAGAACTTTCGTTTTTCTCTTTAGGTCACCCTGCCTCGGTGGGAGACGGCCGGTGCGTTAAAAATAAGAAATTAAAAAGTGGGTAAAAACTAAAAAAGGGCAAATATATAGATAAAAGATATTCACACACACACACACACACACACACACACACACACACACACACACACACACACACACACACACACACACACACACGGAAAAACTCTGATGAAGCGAAGGAATTTAATATTGTGCACACAGTGAGGGCGCTGTTAAAGCGGACATAACCGCGTCACTCTAATTGGCACAATAGCCGTGAGGGCCCAGCAGTCCGCCAGCTGACACGAACAATATAAATGGCAAATGGCCTTTTTTAAGACCGGAATTTATTTGTTTTTCGTTGTAGTGCTGCCGGGGAGTGTTTAACAGGCAACTGTCACTATTTTCTTGAGTTTGCCTTTGGCGAATTGGTCAAAATATTTACGCAGATGTTAATTAATTGCAGTATTGTATCGATTCACCAAATCAACTGAATCGGCTAATTTAGTTTGTCAGCAAGTGAAAGAAGTCAAGAAATATCTTGATTTTACAACTGAAGTGATTCAACCAATTCACTGACCCAACTAATTCACTGACTCAACCAACACCTTGACTCATCTAATATATTGACTCATATAACACAGTGACTGAACACTGACTCAGTTAAACACACTGATTAACTCAATACATTGAACATGAGAACATAGGAGCACTGCCTGAGGCCTACTGGCCCATGGTGAAAACCCACTTCCTAACACCGTCAAGTTGTGGGTAACGTCACCTGAGCATCCACTTTCTACCAGTGAGCACCTGACGCCAGCCTTCTTGCCTGTGCTCCAGTTCCTTCACGACTATGGTGTTCTTCACGCCAACTTCAAGGCTGAAGGACTGATTATCTCATATTTTGCACACAGTTCTACTGTCTTCCAATTATGACCTTGAACTTGAATTCATAAAGCCACTAGATGGCGAAACGTCTACAATAAAGATACTCAGATATTGTGATGAATGGTTTGTGATGAATGGTTTGTGATGAATGGTTTGTGATGAATGGTTTGTGATGAATGGTTTGTGATGAATGGTTTGAAAAACCGACAAGTTGAAGATTGAGACACTTATGCAGCATATGGGAATCTTTATTCAGGAAACATTTCGCCACACAGATTCGCTACTCAGATATTGCACGTGTCTAATTTTCATATTAAGGAGACGTTTCGGTCTTGGGAGCAGTGGAGGCCCCCTGGGGGCTTCAGTCCTCTCCACCAACTTCTATAGTTCACTAAAAACCTCTCCTGTGATGAGACTCATTAGTTATTAAACTTATTCTTAGGAATAAATCTGCGCCTATGCTATTTAAGAACGGAAGACAACCACAGAGGCCAACTGACTTACTATTGGGTAAAAGAACACAAAGCATTTTCTCTATGTCATAACCTGCACTGTGTCTAACTGACATACTGTCTGTATTCTGTCCATTACCCTTCTGGCTATCAGACACAAGAAGGTCCTGTCAAGACACTCCATGTTATCCCGTCTAATCAACATTACCAGCAATTTCTGCAGCCCCACTAGACATTGTGGAAACTAAGTGTAAATTGGGTTACAGAAGCAAGAATAATATACAGTCTAATTGATATATCATTCAATATAATTTACTCTTTGACCACCTTCAGTATCCTCACCTCCAGCTGGTTTTAGCTGTGGATTTGTTAAGTCAGTCCTGTCTGAATTTCAGAAAAATACTGTGAAAATTCATGGCAGGGTATTTGTCAAGATGGAATATATTTGTATGAAGCGGCTGACACTGATGGGAAACAAGGAAAGATGAGACATCACTCTCAGTCACGTCATCTATAATAACTTGTTAATTCTCCACTTAAGAACATAAGAACATAAGAAAGGAGGAACACTGCAGCAGGCCTGTTGGCCCATAGTAGGCAGGTCCTTTACAATTCATCCCACTAACAAGCATTTGACCAGTCCCTCGGCCTTGGAGTTAGTGTTCACAGCATCGTGGTGGAGGAGAATCTGGAGCAAAGGCAACTAACCCATCTCTTTGGGAATCCCGCCTACCAGTGACTGCCCTCGTCTGCTGCCCGTCCCTATCCACTGATGCCTATATAACCGCCAGTCTTCTTGCCTTTGCTCCAGATTCTCCTCCACCACGATGCTGTGAACACTAACTCCAAGGCCGAGGGACTGATTACCTCATCTTTTGTATATAGTTCTACTGTCTTCCTATTATGTCCTAGAATCTGTATTGATAAAGCCACTGGATGGCGAAACGTCTACAATAAAGATATCCAGATGTTGCACATGTGTCTTAACTTTCATATTGTCGGTATTTTATACCTTTCTTGCACAACTTGTCAGACACTGCAACATCATGGAATCTTGGTTCAGAGGACATCTACAAGACCTTCTTCACGGCTGCTGCAACTAACCCATCTCTTTGGGAAGGACCTACTTCCACTGGGGAATCCCGCCTACCAGTGACTGCCCTCGTCTGCTGCCCGTCCCTATCCACTGACGCCTATATAACCGCCAGTCTTCTTGCCTTTGCTCCAGATTCTCCTCCACCACGATGCTATGAACACTAACTCCAAGGCCGAGGGACTGATTACCTCATCTTTTGTATATAGTTCTACTGTCTTCCTATTATGTCCTAGAATCTGTATTGATAAAGCCACTGGATGGCGAAACGTCTACAATAAAGATATCCAGATGTTGCACATGTGTCTTAACTTTCATATTGTCGGTATTTTATACCTTTCTTGCACAATCTGGATATCTTTATTGTAGACGTTTCGCCATCCATTGGCTTTATCAATACAGATTCTAGGACATAATAGGAAGACAGTAGAACTATATACAAAAGATGAGGTAATCAGTCCCTCAGCCTTGGAGTTAGTGTTCACAGCATCGTGGTGGAGGAGAATCTGGAGCAAAGGCAAGAAGACTGGCGGTTATATAGGCGTCAGTGGATAGGGACGGACAGCAGACGAGGGCAAAGTCACTGGTAGGCGGGATTCCCCAGTGGAAGTAGGTCCTTCTCAAAGAGATGGGTTAGTTGCAGCAGCCGTGAAGAAGGTCTTGTAGATGTCCTCTGACTGCTGCAACTAACCCATCTCTTTGGGAAGGACCTACTTCCACTGGGGAATCCCGCCTACCAGTGACTTTGCCCTCGTCTGCTGCCCGCCCCTATCCACTGACGCCTATATAACCGCCAGTCTTCTTGCCTTTGCTCCAGATTCTCCTCCACCACGATGCTGTGAACACTAACTCCAAGGCTGAGGGACTGATTACCTCATCTTTTGTATATAGTTCTACTGTCTTCCTATTAAGTCCTAGAATCTGTATTGATAAAGCCACTGGATGGCGAAACGTCTACAATAAAGATATCCAGATGTTGCACATGTGTCTTAACTTTCATTGCTGTCTTGGTTTAAGGTTGCTGCTTACCATAACCCCCAAGTCCTTTTCGCAATCTGTATGGCTAAGTTCTACATTATTTAACTTATAAGTGCTAGGGTTATGGACACTTCCGAGCTTCAGAACCTTGCATTTATCTACATTGAACTGCATCTGCCACTTTTCTGACCAAAAGTAGAGTTTGTCTAAATCCTCCTGAAGTTCCCTAACATCTACGTTTGAATCAATTATCCTACCTATCTTCGTGTCATCGGCGAATTTGCTCATATCACTAGTAATTCCTTCATCAAGATCATTGATATATATTATAAACAACAACGGGCCCAAGACTGATCCCTGTGGAACGCCACTTGTTACTGATC